CGGACAAAATTTATAATATGTCATTATACTCATCACACACCTGGCACTGCGGAATTCCATTTACTCAAATACAAATACACTCTCCCACATGTATACTTACACAAACACACACACCGTACATACAACACACATACACCCATACACACATAGAAAGTTGAGGAGTTTTATTTGAGTTTTTACTTTGGAATTAGTTGTTTTTTGTTTAATTATTTTATCTAAGTTGCTCTTTGCCGCTATGTAGTTTTTTTTCTCTTTAGATTGATAAATCTGTTATGGTTATTAAGTTTATTTTATTATTACTAGTGTACAGGGACCTCCGACTATCTACGCTCCCTTTTACATCTTGGGAAGGGGGGTGGCTGAAAATCAGCTCGACACTGGATCTCAACCAGTATCGGTTAAGCTGAGCCTCCCCCTTTTGCCATCTGTTATATTTTTTCATGTATGTTTCTTATTTTGTACAACTCTGTGTATTCTTGGATGGCAATAAAGAGGTTTTTATTTTTTTTATTTATTTTATTTTTTAAATAGAATAAAACAACTTTTAACTAATTGAATGTTACAAGTATATATATATATACCTTCAGTGAGCAGCGGCCGCTCCTCTGATGTGTTCAGCTTCCGGATGAAGTACACCTGCGACAGATACATTCACTAAGTTATTCAAATTCTGTATTAATAAGTATGCTCAAAATAAACATACCCCTCCAACTGAAGCTGTGAGTGCGAATGCAGCGGCGGCGACCCATCCTCTGCGTGGCGGCGGCGGAGGCGGAGGCGGAGGGGGAGGTGCAGAATGTGCACAAGAATCCACTGATGATGGGGTCTTTGTTTGAGGCCTCACATCCGTCAAAACTGTCTGTAGATAACGAATTAATACATTATAAAATGAAAATGTGGACTTTTCTTGCAAGTAGATAGATACTATTCAGTGAGAATATTGTGCAATTACCGTTTTATATTTTCTGATTTTCCTTGGTTGCTTGCATAGATAATTATATTCATTAAACATTATAAAGAATTAAAAGAAAACTTCTCTTTTAAAAAGACAAAATATTATTTACCTGGTTTGTGGATATACCGGCATAGCCCGCAGTACCTAGGTGAACAAAATATTAATCTTTAAATAAATGTAAGGACATAATCTTTCTAATTATGGGCAAAATGATGGGGACATAAACCAGAAAGTGTTGAGATTGAATTTGGATGGCGACAAAGGAAGAGGAAGACCGAAGAAAGTATGGATGGATTGTGTGAAAGAGGATATGCTTAAGAAAGGAGTGGATTCAGATATGACGGCTGATAGAGATATATGGAAGAACAGCACATACTGTGCCGACCCTCCATAAGGGATAAGGGCAAGTGGATGATGATAATCTTTCTAATTAAAGTTCCCAAAACTCTTTTAAATAACATTGACTCAATCATAACTAAAGGCACAAATAATACAAAAATTTTTAATAAATCTTGGATCTGAGTTTTTAGCAACATTCATTGCGAAAGTAAAATATTGCTAATGGGCCGAAAAGCACATTTAATTTTATGTTTGTGTAAAACTTACGGAACAATTTAAAAACATCACGTCTAGCGATCGCCAAAGCCTGGCTCTCAATATAAATACTAGAAACGGCTCTTAACATATTAGATATCATATCACTATAAGTAAAAGATAACTACACTTTTCAAAATACGGTTTTATAAGAGTTTTGGATTTCTTTTCTTACATATTTAACAAATACAAGGGTAACATTTTATTCATTTTATCATTTTAGGTTAGCCTTTGAAATTTTCGCAAATTATTGATCAATTTCGGACTGTTTTTGACAGTTGACAATTGACAGGTGACACTGCTGGTGTTACAAACATTTAAGTCTATACTAATATTATAAAGAGAAAATATTTGTATTTTTGTAAGTATTTGATTCAAGCAAAAACTACTTTGCCGATTTTAAAAATTCCTTCACCATCAGAAAGGTCCTTTACCTGTGAGTAACATAGGCTATATTTTATTAATACTAATGTTGAGGAACTATTAAAAAACACCGTGTTTCTGGACACCTGCGTTAAAAAATCAATAGACTTTAACTTTTCTCGGCTTACGCTGCCTAAACTGTTTAAACTATATAAAATGATGTATGAAAGAATTGTAGATCTCAAAAAGTTCTACTGAAAAGTATGCGATGGCATGTATCTATCTTTAACGGTTTTCTCACACTCACAATAACCACTTTTTTGTTTACAAAATGAATTAAAAACAACACGCTATTTTCTTTTATTGGTTTCAATATTAATGCTTATCCAAATAAATGTGTTTGTTATCAGGAGAATTTTATGTAGAATAAAATTGTACTTTACAGTATTTAAATTGGACTAATAGCTTAGAAGATATCGCGAACACAAACAATCAGGGTAATCGTAAAATTAGCGCACAAGCTACCAGGCTTAGGAATTTGGAATCTTGCGTCGGTAGATTTCTGTTATTACGTAAATTACTACTAAGTTAATACTTTTGTTAATAGGTTGAAAAAAGGGGCGAACGTAAGTTTTAAAATTTAAAATTTCACGCGGACGAAGTCGCGGACAACAGCTATTAGTTTGTAAAAAACAACGAAATTGCGATTTTTAACTTAAAAAAGTAATTGCATTTAGTTTGAACACTTAAGTTATTCTTTAAAATCATAGCAATAAGTGGATCGATGGTTTGGAAAGTGGCTAATAGTGGTGTAAAAATGTACTTCTAGATTGCACAAAATAGACCAAAACAGTCACTGCTTGTAACACTGCCAATAAATTGTCAACGAGCTGTCACTGTCGTCATATGTGGATGTCATTGTCATTTGTCTTTGATTATCATTTTAATTTGTCATACTGAAAGTCGATGATTATTTTATACAAGAAAGAACAAGAAAAGCTAGATTATCCTGCAATTTACCACTTTCGGCTGATTATGATTTAGCTTGTTGTTATTAGGAATATCTTATATAAAGCGAAATAAACACTATATCAAAATTCCACCAGCGTCGGTACCGGACGGATCATCTCTCCGAGCTACTAGTTGGTAAGTTTTTATTAGACGAGTCATCGGGCCACGCAGTCTAGCATTACCGTATTTGTATCCACAAATAGTGCCAAACGAGAACTTTAAGAGACCGACGAATAAAACAAAACAACAAATATTTAATATGCAGTCGCAATAGTGCCAGTCGCGTAGTTGCACTTTGCGTTACGATACACCGTTATTTTGTTTACTAGCTATTTGTTTCAGTGAATATTAATACATTTTATTAGCAACTTTTTAAAGTAGATAAGTGTTTTTAGATAGTTTTTTTTGTTTATTTTAATTAAAGGGCAATAGTTCTGAACCACTTTCAAATTAATACAGTTTTTCCAATATTGACATGTTGTTGGTATCCAATAGGATTCCAAGTTGATTATTCAGTTCGTTTTGTTAAAGCTTTTTTCATTGTTTTGGCTATTTTGCATGATTTGTAATATCTTAATATATCTTTAAATTGACTACAACAGTCTGTACTGACTTACCTGCCGTTGATGCTGTAAGGATTTCAACCTTGTAATCCCTGAAAAATGCTAAAGGACTGATAAACTATAGCAATCATAGAATTTTAATAATTGGTAGATGAATACCATGTTTTTTTCTTTAACAATGGTGTTGTTGCAAGAAAATAAATTTATTGATTCAATGTAGGTACATCACTTATCTATTTCTTCAACCATGTTAAACATTGTTCAGCTTAGATTTTGAAATGCTAACAAAGTTAAGCAACATCTAATTCACAATCTTCCAATATAATTACAAGTCTTACTTCTTACTAATATTATAAATGTAAAAGTTAAGATGGATCAATGTCTGTGTTAGAGTTTGTAGTCGTTAAGGCTGAATGGATTTTGATGAAATTTGAACACAGGATATTTAATTTTGTGTTTTTTTTATTCACACAATGGAATTGTGAGGGAAAGTTAGTCATATACATATATAACTCTACACTCTGTGGCAACAAAGTAAATATTACTTTAACACTATTAATGTATCCTTTTTTTTCTGCCATTATAGTAGTAGCAGTAGTTCTAAGTTAATGTTTATTGTTTAAAGTCTGCTCATTTTATTATAGACATTATTGTATTTTTGTTACCATACATTTGCTACAATGTAAAACTATTTGTGTAAAATAACCTGCCTGTCCATTAGTGTAGTCAGTAGATATAAATGTACTTAACAAAGTGTGTCAGCTGTGACATTGACAGCCGTTACAAGGTCATAAATAATAAGTCACACACAACATGCAATGTAACTAAAAGAAATATTATTAACCTGATTTCCGATAATTCTTTTACTGTTTGAAAAAAAATCAGTGATTTATTAATTGTTGCTGGTGTATTCAGTATATTTAATGTATAATTCAAGATAATTTGTGGCATACTATGAAGCCTTCTACAAATAAAAAAAACAATAAAGAGGATTAATAATATTTATTGCCACATTAATAAAAGTGTACAGCCTTATA